ATATTTTTCCATTGATTTTTAGAGAGAGTGGAGGGGAGAGGGAAAGAGAGAGAGAGAGAGAGAGAGAGAGAGAGAGAGAGAGAGAGAGAAACGCATCGATTGGTAGAAGGAGAAGCACATGCCCTTGACTGGAATTGAACCTGAGACCCTCGAGCCCACAGGCCGACCCTCCAGCCACTGAGCCAAACCGGCCAGGGCTAGTTAGGAGTTCTCATATAGCCTTTCTGGATTCTATAGAATTTGCCGTGTGCACTGTGATATTTTTCATGAGCAGCTTTTCTCTCTTAACTGTGAGCATTTTCCCCTTCTCTGGCTTCTCCTGGCACTGGCTACACCTCTGAGCAAGCTGAGGGAGCAGTGGGTGTGCCCGTGGGCATCGTCCTGGCCCGAGGGCTTGCTCATGAGAGGGCGCTAATGTTTTCTGTGCAGCCACTGAAACTATCACATGTATTTTCTGCTTTGTCTTATCAGTCTGGTGTTAGGGGTTGAACCGTATCCCCCGCCCCCAGAATTTGTTGAGGTCCCAGCCCTCAGTCCTGAGGAATGTGGCCATTGGAAACGGGGTCTTTGCAAATGCGATCAAGTTCAGATGAGGTCGTTAGGTGGGCCCTAACCCAATGCGCCTGGTGTCCCTATAAGACAGTGGTTCTCAACCTTCTGGCCCTTTAAATACAGTTCCTCATGTTGTGACCCAACCGTACAGTTATTTTCCTTGCTACTTCATAACTGTCATGGTGCTACTGTTATGAATCATAATGTAAATATCTGATATGCAGGATGGTCTTAGGCGACCCCCGCCAAAGGGGTCACGACCCACAGCTTGAGAACCGCTGCTATACGAAAGTGGTGTTATTCTGTCCACCGCAGCCTGCCCTCTGGCCCCCAAAGAGTCACATCCATCCAGTTTGCAAAATGCATGGGTCCTATCCCAACATCCCCCAAAGTCTCAAGTTATGGCATCGGCATTGATTCAAAGTCCAAAATCTCGTGTAAATCTCAGTAGTTCCAAGTCCCTAATCTCAGCATCTACATAATATAAATCAGGCCTGGGTGCGGCTCCTTGTAGATTCCTGCCCCCCACCCCCGCCCCAGGCAAATTCCTCTGCTCCTGTGCACTCAGCGAGCGGATCCTCTAATCCCCAAATACAACAGTGTGCCACGGAATGGACATGCCCCTGCAAAGAGGGGGAGAGTGGCCCGGGCATGGCTCTGTGGTTGAGCGTTGAGACCAGGAGGCCGCGGTTTGATTCCCTGTCTCAGCGACTTTGGGATCCAAGGAGCAAAGTCACTTCGGTTTCCCAGCCTCAGGGCTGTCCTCTGGCTGAAGGGCCTGCCTCCCGGCCATGGCTCCTCCCGGTCTTCCGTCCCTGGCTGAGCACCAGTTGGTGAGAGGTCATCCCCTAAGCGGAATTGTTCCTGTGTGGCCTCATCATATTTATTAAAGCTGGGGGCAGTGAGTCAGGGAAGGGCTGGGGCAATCCCAGGCGGTTGGCTTTGCTCACTAAGAAGCCAGGGAAAGGGGGCCTTGGGGACAGGCTCAGGGGTTGCCTGGGACGGACGGCCATGCCCAATGCTGTCCTGGTGCGAGCCTGTGGGGCCCCTTGGAGTTTAGAGATGCCTGCCCATGGGGGAAGTAAGGGGGGGGGGGGTATGGGCCTGCTTCTGGGAGGGAGAGCCAGAGCTGGGGACCTTTGTTTTGAGGGGTTTTAAAAGCTGGGCATTGCCCAGCCAGGTGCTCAGTGGTTGAGTGTTGACCCATGAACCTGGAGGCCACTGGTTCGATTCCCAGTCAGAGCACGTGCCTCGGTTGGGAGCTCAATCCCCAGTAAGGGCGTGCAGGGGGCAGCTGATTGGTGATGTTTCTCTCTCTCTATCCTTTCCTCTCTCTCTCTAAAAAAAAATCAATACAAACATATGTAAAGTGATAAATGCTTACATAGTTAATATTTTTTAAAAAGCTGGGCGTTTAGGGAGGGATCAATAGAATATTCATCAGCGTTTAACCTCTTAACTTCACCTGTCCTTGAGAGTGGTTGGCGAATGGCGCTACTTGGATTTCTGCTGTCTCCCTGAGTATGCGTACTCCCCCACCACCCCCCCTGCAGGGAGGTCCGGCTTCTGTGTTCTGCACTCGGTTCTGTCAATTTGCAGAGACACTCTATGTTCCTGAGTGAAAAGCAACGCATGTAATACACGTGGTGCAGAAGACAGGTGAATGGTCTTCATAGAATTGGATTCTTGCCATGACTCCGAAGGTCTTAAAAACCAGAAATCCCGCTTCCTATTTACTCACCCGGAGGGACAGGGACATGGAGGTAGAATAAGAACCAGGCTTCTTGGCCCCGGTGAGGTCGGGACGGCCCCCGTGAGGTAGGGATGGCCCTGGTGAGGTTGAAACGGCCCCGGTGAGGCTGAGACGGCCCCAGTGAGGTTGGGACTGCTCCAGTGAGGTTGGGACAGATAATGGGGACCAGTATAGACTGATGAACAGGGGTAGATGCAGAGGCAGAGCAACATTGAACAGACTGTCAAACTACAGTGGGAAGCCTGGGGAGGGTTTGGGGAGGGAATTAAGAGATCAACTGAAGGACTTATATGCATGCATATAAGATTAACCAATGGACACAAGACACCGGGGGGTAGGGGCCGGGGGAATGTCAAGGGGGGGCGGGGGAAAGGAGACATATGTAATACTCTTTGTAATACTTTAAGAATTAAAAATTATAAAAAAAATTCAATGTGAAAATCAAAAAAAAAAGAAAGAAAATTCAATGTGAAAATAAAAAAAAAACTTATGCTCTTAAATTTTCAATTTAAAGGAAAAAAAAAAAAAAGAACCAGGCTTCTGAGTGAGGAGCCTAAGGAGTTACAGGCAGAGGGATTCAGCGCATGTTCCCCAGGAACCTCGACCCATTGCAGGCTCCGGGAGTCCCTCTTCCGGGCACTCAGGACTGAGGGCTCCTTCGCCTTTCCTGCCACAACACCCACGCTTCTGCCTCTGACCCTGCGCGGAGGGAGGGTCCCGGGGTGGTGTTCCTCCATCCAATTCAATGTGATCAGGTGCTCAGAGCGGAACACGCCCCCCCCCCCCCCCCCACTTCCCTGTGTTCCCTGCCCATGCCTCTCTCCCCCTCTCCGGCAGACGTCAGTACCTACTAAATACTCAGGAATGTTTGAGGGAATAAAACAAACCTTCTGCCTTAGAGCAGGGGCTTAGCGTCACCTGGGGGAGCTTGACCACATCCCCAGCCAGGCCCCAGGCCGATTTCATCAGAGCCCCTGGGGCGGGCTCCCGCGGCTTATCTGAACACTCCCCGGGCGAGTGGGCCGGGCAGCCAAGAGGGAGCCACTGGACTTGAGGCTGTGACCGTACCACAGGGGCGTTCAAATAAAACAATACGTTTATCCGCTGCTGTCCCTGAATAACGTCTAATTTATACTCGTATAATGCCTTACAGTTTTCAAAGCGAATGAGCTTTTAAACATTTAATAGAGACCTAATAATCCACTGTGGGACAGGGATCTGTAGCAAATACCAGGAAGTTGTGTGTGTGTGTGTGTGTTTGGGGAGGGGAGTCGTGTGGAGTTGGGGAAAGTGCTGAGCCTGTGGTTTGAGGGATCTGCAGCGGAAAGGAAGCCCCGGGTTGGGGAGGCCCGGGGGAGGAAGCAGCTTGAGATGAGGTGTCAGAGGACCCGCAGTGTCCCTGCGACTTGGGGGAGCTGCTCTCTGTCCCTCTGGGGGAGGGGCGGCGTTCCTGGGTTATGGGTGTGGAGGCGCCAGCTCACTCGGATGTCTTAGTTATCTTAGTGCGCTGGGACCAGTGTCCCAGGTGTGGGGCCTGTGAGTGCGCAGGGCCCAGGAGCAAGAGCGAGGGACTCCCTTCTTGGGGACCCTTCTTAGGGCCCAGGCCGGGTCTGGGCTGTTGATTGCTAGAACTCCCCCGGCGTTGGCACCAGTATTGGAGGGTCCGGGTGATGACTCTGGAAACAAGCCCCCGCTAGGGGAGCACTCCCAACCTCCCCAGCTCCCTCTTCTGCACCGCCGCCCCCCCCCCCCCCGCCTCCTCCCCCCCCCCCCCCAGCGCCTTAGCTCCAGGTCCACAGCTTTGCAGCTCTTTGCTCCCCTCCTTCCTTCATCCTGTCCCTCCAGGACCAGCTCAGGCTCCACCCCATCGGGGCTCCCTCACCCTCAGGGCCAGGGAACAGCCAGAGCCCTTCTTCCATTCCGGTCCCCTGTCCCTCTGTCCGTCCTCAACACCCAGAAGGCACCTGGTGCGTCTCCGTGGCCTGAGCACCCAGCACAGGTTGCCAGACCTTCAGGCGGCAGCCAGGAGACTGGCGTGAGCGGTGGGTGGAGAGTGAGCGCCTGAATGAGCGGGTGAGCGCATGAATGGATGAGGGTGAATGAGAGAGCAGGACGGAGTGCGCGTGGGTGGAGGAGCGAGCGAGGGCGCGACAGGTGCCCGCGTGGGTAGGCGAATAAGGAAATGGCGAGGGAGCTGGCAAGGGGCCGAGCGTGTGATGAGTGAGTGAGTGAGTGGGTGGGCGGGTGGGTGCTGAGTGGGGGCGGGCGGGAAGCAGCGCCGCGGAGAACCCGCGGGGAGGAGCGATGCTCGCAGGAGGGCGGGAGCGCGGGCCCTGAGCGCGCGCTGGTCCTGCCCAGAGCCGCGTGGCCGGGGCGGGGCCGAGGGGCCCAGGCGTGGGCGTGGCGAGGAGTGGTGTGGGCGGGGCCAGTCCGGGAGTTGGCGGGCGGAGGCGGGGAGTGGGCGTGGCGAAAGAGTGGCACGGGCGGGGCCAGCCTGAGAGCTGGCGAGGAGTGGGCGGGGCGAGGCAGGGGTGGGCGGGGCGAGGCAGGGAGCTGATGGGGGGAATGGGCGGGGCTAGCTGGGAGTGGGCGGGGCGAGGCCGGGAGCTGATGGGGGAATGGGCGGGGCTAGCTGGGAGTGGGCGGGGCGAGGCCGGGCCAGGCGCGGAGGCCGGGCGCGGAGGAAGTCACGTGGCGCGCCCTCACATGACTGGCGGTGCGATGGACCCGCTGCCCGCGGCGGCAGTCACGGCAGCGGCTGAGGTGGAGGCGGACGAAGAGGCAAATCTACCGGCGGCAGGTAAAGCGGTTGGGCGGGCTGGCGGCGTACCTGGGCCCGCGACCCCGGGGACCCCGCGGCCCTCGGCTCCCTTACCTCCCGGGCGCCCCGCCGGGTCGGTTCGCCCGCTCCCAGGGGCGCGCGTGGCTCCGGGCGCCCGGTCTGCGGTCGCGGGTCCTGGGGCCCGAGCACCGGTCCAGGTTGGCACCTCGCCGCGCACTCCTGCCCGAGTCTTCCCGCGTCTGTCCGGACCCCGGGGCAGCGCGTCTGCCCGCCCCACGCTTCTGCGGTGCCGCCCTGCCCGCGGCGTGGGCACCGCGCCTGGACCTGCGGGGCTCGGCCAGTACCCCGGTCGCTCGGGATGTGGGCGCTCTCCTCCGTAAACCGTCCCATTGCCCGTAAGTGCGCTTCGGAGTGGATGGGCGTGGACACCGAGAAGCATGCGGGTGGCGCGGCTCGCCCAGGCTGCCCTGTTTAATGCCCCCGCCCTCCCCTCACTGGAGGGACATGCCGGTGGGTGTCGGTGTGACTTGCTGTTTCTTCTTGGCAGAGGGCACACAGTTGGGGGACTCCGCCTGGGGGGCCTGACGAGCTGACCCTGAGTTCTGGAGGCTCTAGTGCAGCGGTTCTCAACCTGTGGGTCGCCACCCCTTTGGGGGTCGAACGACCCTTTCACAGGGGTCGCCTAAGACCATCGGAAAACACACATATAATTACATATTGTTTTTGTGATTAATCACTATGTTTAGTTAAGTTCAATCTGTAACAATGAAATTGGGGGTCACGGCAACATGAGGAACTGTATGAAAGGGTCGTGGCGTTAGGAAGGTTGAGAACCACTGCTCTAGTGTGTTCATTGGGGGAAAGGGAGGCTGAAGCTGCCGGGGTGTTGAGGGGGGCATTGCGCTGGGCTGGGCATTGCGCTGGGCTGGCCCAAGTGATGGGAAGCCCTGGGTGAGTCAGTCTGGACAGCAGCCCCCTCGCCCGGCCCCCTGGCCTTTCTCCTCGCTGGGAGCTCTGGGAGGGGAAGCATGTGATAGCCCCGCTGCCGGTTAGAACACTGTGTTCATGACGTCACACCTTTGGGCCCTGCGTGTGGTGGCGTCAGGGTGTCCTCTTGTGGGTGCAGGGACTGACTGCACTGGGTGCTTCATGCAGGGCTCACCCATGGCTGCCCTGACGGTGTCATTTACGGCCCGACCGCCCTCCTGTGACTTCCTGGGACTTCCCAGGCAGCTGGCCTGCCTTGAGGCCCATGGTTTCGTTAGGCGGCTCCCGGTGGGGACAGGGCAGCTTTCCCGCAGCAGGGAGAGTCTCAGAGGGGGTCCATGGACCGCGGACGTGGCCAGTCACTTCCTTCCATCCCACACCTTCGCCCGTCCTGTGAGGCAGGGGAAGTGGTGGGCAAACCTTTGCACACTCGGAAAACCAAGCCTAGAGGCAAGTGCCCGGGTGGGCACGGTTCAGGGGCATGTCGTGGGGGGGGGGGGCGAGGCGGGGGGCTGGAGTGTGAGAACCTCAGCCTTTGGGAGTCAACTTGGTCCAGGGATGATGTGCGTCTCGCACTTTAGGAGAGGTTGGGTTTCACTGTTGAGGAAGCGGGAGGTGTGGTTTACGGATACGCAGCGAATTTCTGCTTCTCCGGTGTGGTGTCCGCGGGGCCAGCACCATCGTCGGCGTTAACTGTGGGGACCGAGAGGTCTGCATCTCTGAAGCACCTTTGGGATTGTCAGAAAAACAAAATGACTTCGTTCCCTGTGGTTTTCAGCATTTCCTATCATACTGTAACTCTGACCTTTAACCTGTGAATGGTAAGTCCCTCCTAAGAATTTAACGTTGAAGTGTGAACTACATGCACAAACACATTTTCTTTTAAAGAAAGACCGTTACAGTTTAGGTGGAAGTCTCGGCCCCATGCAGTCCCCCTCTCTTTCCTGGAGGAGGCCGTCGCTGTCAGTTTGGGGGGCCCTGCCAGTCCTGTTGGTGTCCTTTTTATGTCTGTGGGCTCAGAAGACACACACCTCCCCGTCCGCGCCCGTGCCTCCCCAGGGGAGTGTATTAGTTTCCTGCGGCCGCGGTGACAGGTTACCGCACCGTCAGCGGCGTAAGCCACACGCATCGACCACCTCACAGTCTGGTGGTCGGTAGTGGAAAGTAGGTTTTCCTGGGCTAAACCCCAGTGCGGTCCAGCTGCGTTCCGCCTGGAGGCCCTGGGGGACCCGTTTCCCGGCCTTTTGCAGCTCCCGAGGCCTCGGCATGGCTTGTGGCCGGTGCCCTTTCCCCTGTGGCTGTGGCCACAGTGTTCCCATGTGTCATCTCTGGTTCTCCCTGTCCTGTCCCCTGTTCCATGTGACAGGGCCCCTGGGGTTACACTGGGCCCTTTACCATGTAACCTAACAGAGCCCCAGGTTCTGGGGGTGAGCATGGGGGTGTCTTAGGGTCCATTATTCTGCCAACTATTGAGATACACTAAGAGCGGATTGCAGGGTCCTAGGGTTTGCACACTTTTTCAAATACACGTATTTTTATTGATTTCAGAGAGGGAAAGGAGAGGGAGAGAGGTAGAAACATCAATGATGAGAGAGAATCATGGATCGGCTGCCTCCTGCATGCCCCTCACTGGGGATCGAGCCTGCAACCCGGGCATGTGCCCTGCCCAGGACTCGAACCATGACCTCCTGGTTCATAGGTCAATGCTCAACCACCGAGCCACGCCGGCTGGGTTGCACACTCATTGTTTTAGTGGATACTGACCAATTACCCGCTGGTTGGCCATGGCCAGTTTATACAGTATTAGCTGTGGATTAAACGCATCCTTTCCCACAAGCTCATCAACACGAAATCCTGTCTTTTAAACTCCCTTCAGACTTAGACAAGTGAAGAAAGTGTTTCATTTTTGTTTCGATTGGCGTCTCCTTGACTATCAATTAGTTCCTTGAAGTTTAGTTTCTTGTAGTAATTTCACCGTGGATGGTTCTGGACTGCCTGTTCCTATCTTTTGCCTGTTTTCTCACGGGAGTGCCTTTCTCTCTTGCTGGTTTGTGTAGCAGCTCTTCCTGTACTTGGACGTAGCCCTCTGTGAGTTTAGCTATTGAAGCAGCTGACTGACCGGAACGTTCTGTTCCCGGCTGGTGCGGGAGGAGCGCTTGTCCCGGGGCCTCTTGAAGCCGTAAACTCAGCGACTGTGACAGAGTGAGAATGGCAGAGAGGACGTGATGCGCGTGCTTGTCCCGTCCTATGGCACCACACGTGACAGAAACTTGCACGGGACACACCGCGCACCCGGCCCTGCTCTCCGCAACCCTGCGTGCCCCAGCCCGGTCTTGGGAACAGGCGCGTGGCTTCCATCCGCACTTGAGCAGCGCATCCCCGGGCATTCCGTTCATTCCACCAGGAAGCTCCCCAGCTGTGTGTCTTTGCAGAACCCCCGGCAGCCTCCTGGTGGCCTGTGGGGTACGGCCAGAGCTCTGCCGGTCACCCTTGCTGCCCGCCGCCGCCCGCCCTGCCTGCATGCCGGGCGATTTCCGTGCCCTCCACGCTGCCGCCCTCGCCCGCTCCTGCCTCATACATTTGTGGAGTCCACTGAGTTGCTCTGAAGACGTCCACACTGGCCTGTGATGAACTCGGACCTCACAGCTCTGCCCGCGCTCGGCGATCCCCTCCCTGCCTCCCACACGCTCCCACCCCGGCTCCTCCGGAAGGAGCTGGTTCCTCCCCCAGGCCCAGGCCTAGAGTACCTGCTGCACAGAAAGGGCTCGGATGTGTGAGCAGACTTGTGTCTTTGTCGTGGCCTTTTTTTAGGATGGTATCGCCTTTCAATGTGGTGGTTCTGTGGATGTTCTTTAAGTTCGTGTCGTGATCTTTACACGCTGCCTCTCTCTCTCACTCACACACTCTCACACACACACACACACACACACACACACGATTTGCAAGGTAAAACGTGTCCATTCGGAGAAAGAGGAAGTAGCGGAAGCACGATTATGTAGAACAGATTTTGCAGAGTTTGTGGTTAGCAAGAAAGAGATGTGCTCGGGCGGGGGAATTCTGTTTGGGCATTCATCTTCCCTTCCTGAGAAAACGCCTCCCAGGAGAGCTGCTTGCCGCGTGCCCGCCGGGGGCAGAGGCGGGACCTGCTTCGGCCGCCCGTGGTGAGAGGCTCGGAACGCAGGTGGGGCCGACCCCGGGCGTGTGGTGATCACGCGCCCTCGGAGGCGCTGTAGTGTTTGGGGCCTTCGCATGAGTTAGTGCGACATCCCAGCCAGACTCGGGCCGGCGTTCCTTGTGGAAATGCCAGGGCTAAGGTCCGTTTGTCGGTTTCACAGCAGACGCCGCTGGGGAGAGCCCGAGGCCCTGGCACAGTCGGCGGCTCGCCAGCAGCACGGCCTGGCCCCGGCGTGGACAAGCCTAGGGTTTTATTGATCTCAGATGGAAGGGAGGGAGAGAGAGAGAAACATCAGCGGTGAGAGAGAATCACGGACCGGCTGCCTCCTGCACGCCCCACGGTGGGGACCACGCCCACAACCCGGGCCTGTGCCCTGACGGGAATCGAACCGTGACCTCCCGGTTCATGGGTTGACGCTCAACCATGGAGCCCCGCGGGCTGGGCATGAAGATAGTTTTGTGGGAAGTTCGGACTCCCTGTTTCACTCTCCAGTTAGCAGTGGAGGGGCGTTTAGAGGGGGAGAGGGTGTATTGTCTCGCATCCCTCCTGGCAGAGTCCTGCATTAGTCAGCAGGGGTCCCGCCCCGCCTGGGGTCTGTCTGCACGGCTGGCCCCCAGGGCACCGGTGCGTCCAGCTGCTTCCGGGGCCCCGGCGTCTGTGTGGCAGCAGGAGGGGTGTCTGGGAGCCTCACCTGCTGCTCGGAGCAGAGGCATGGGCGGTGGCGGTGGCGGAGGGTCAGGTGGCTCCTGCCCGAGCACTTCCTTGGGACGCAATTGCACCTCCGACTCCGGAGAAATTCCGGCTGCGCTGCGGTGGTCGGCCGTCCCCGAGCTGGCCACTCACTGCCGGTGCCGTGCACGAGGGCGGAGCCACGCTGCGTCTCAGCTCGCGGGAATCCAGGAGGGTCAGTGTGACAGGATGTGCCCCGCGCCTCTGCCTCCTGGGGCCGCCGTGACGTGGGAGTCTCGCGGACGTCCCTGCGGAAGTCAAGGTTGAGCTGTGTCGTGGGGTGTGGACACGCTTCTCCGAGGTGGACTGTGATGGGCGGGCTCCTCGGGAGGAGAGGCCCGTGGAGGGAGAGCTTTGCAGAGAACGGTGGCAGCGTGGCCGTGCCGGTAGCCACGCCTTCTAGACACCTGTGTGGGACCTGTGTGCAGAGCACTGCTCCTCCAGCGGTCCTGTGGCTGGAGCAGTCCTGTCACCCTTATGTTACCGATGGGGAAACCGAGGCATGCAGCAGGCCCATCCCTTGCCCGGGACCGCCAGCTGGTAAAGGTGGAGCTGGGGTCCAGCCCGGGCATCAGGCTGCAGTTAGGACGGGGTCGATGTCCGCTCCTGGCGCAGTCCACCCTTAGCATCCGCTGTGCCTCCCTTAGCATCCGCTGACCCCACTCCCGGCGGACTGCCCCCCGCCCGGTGGCTTCCCTTACAGATGGTGGGCGCCCCGTCTCACGGACACCCAGGGCCCTGGGAGGCGCCGTTCTTCTCGGGAAGGGAGAGCGTGTGAACAGTGACACGGGACAGGAGAGACACGTGACCCTGCGTGGCTGCGGGAGGCACTTGGCGGAAGAGCCGTTGCAGCAGAGTTTGGGGGTCAGCCCTGCTCCGCGCCCGCAGACAGTGCGCAGGGCAGCCGGGAGCCGGGACCTGCCCGCGCTGGCGTCCAGGTGAGTCCGTGCTCAGCCCGTTCCCTCGTCGGTGCTGGCAGGGCTCCGCTTCCCAAAGGGAGTCAGGAGCTCTGGGCACATCCCAGGGGAGAGGCGAGCCTTCTCCTTTTTCTTTTTAAATATGTTTCGTTGATTTTTTTTTTTTTTTTGAGAGAGGAAGGGAGGAGGATGGAGAGAGAGAAACATCGATTGGCTGCCTCCCACACTGGGGATGGAGCCCGAAACCCGGGCCTGGGCCCTGATCGGGAATCAAACCAGCCACCTCCTGGTTCATGGGTCAACGCTCAACCACTGAGCCACTCGGGCCGGGCAAGGAGCCTTCTTTGCACAGAGAGCGAGGCTCCAGATCAGCACAGGTGCTGTAGCGGGAAACGCTGACGACACGGGGGTCTCACTGGACGTCTGCCCGGTTCCCAGTCTGCCCACGCCGGCTCCCCAGGCGATGCTTTCCGGTTGGTGCACTGCATTCCGGGTGTGGACTTGGCGGGCGGCTGGAAGGCAGGGGTCCCATCCTCCCTCTGGGGTCCCTGCGTGTGTCAGCGAATGGTGGGTAAATGGGCTCTGTGGAGTGACTGGGGCTCGGGCAGGAGCCTGGATGTGGTTGGAGCCGGGGTCCGCATGAGCACTGCCTGGGATCCACACGGTCCCGTCGGGGGATTTGGAATATTTCCATTTCATGTCTGAAGGTTCTAGAAAACCTGAGCCACTTTCAGACTGAACAGCCAGACCCAGGATGAGGTTTAAGAACGAAAACCAAAAACGGTTGAACTTAGAGACAAGGAATTTTTTTTGTTTTGAACTTTGAACTCCTATAGTGTAAGTTATTCCAAGATCCCCCAAATTAGCCAAAGTAGTCTCCCCCTAAACTTTGCAGAAAGTCACTGCCTCTCCAGCTAACGATGCAGGGAGAGCCCGGGAACCCTCGCTCCAGGCCCCACTGCCGGCTCCCTGCGCTCCAGGTGGGTCAGGGATCACCTGGCAGGTGACAGTGTCGGCTTTGACTTAGTTTTCTGACGTCTGAAGCAACAGACCAGGGATTTTTCCCCCCCCTTTGTGGTCTGGGCCCTTGCCTCTCCCTCAGGGAGGAACAGCCACTCTCAACTTGAAAATGTATATGTGTGTGTATGCATGAGTGTGCGAGTGTGCATGAGTGTGTGTGCATGTATGTGAGTGTGCATGAGTGTGTGCGTAAGTGTGTGAGTGTGCATGAGTGCGTGTGTGTGTCTGTGTGGTCACCCGTGTCACAGGTCCCAGGATGACCAATCCACCGTCTCTGTGACCAGTGGGACTCTGGTTCATGTCTGTGAAATGGGGTCACAGTAGCTCCTGGGAGTGCTGCAGGGGTGGGGGTGGGGAACGTCTGGCCCGTGGGCTGTGTACGGCCCGAGAAATCCTTTGGTCCAGCCCTGCCAAGGCACCCGCAGGCGGACTTGAGACTCAGCCAGCCTGGAGCTTTTTCATAGCAACATACATCTTTACGAAGTGAAGCGTATGAAGCGAGTGACGTTACAAATACCCGAATGGCCGTTGGCAGAGGAAAGGCCCTGCCCTGCTTAGAGGATGCTGGCTGAGGCCCCGGGAAGGTTCCGGGCGCCAAGGTGCTTGGTCGGCAGTGGCTCCGGCGTCAGCGGCGTTTGGCGCTGCACTCCGTTCTCCCGGTGACCGGCGGAGCCCGTGGTGAGAGCATGGAGGGCTCACCGGCCTGGAAACACTTCGCTGACCCAGTGCTGTTTGCACTGTGTCGGGGGCTGAAGTTCTCAGCTGACACCCAGGGAAGGCCCGAGGGACCGTGAGCGGTGGTTTATCCGCACCGTGTTTCGGGTAAACACACCGTGTGGGGAGATGGGAAAGCTTTTTCTCGTCTCTGAAATGTAACTGGACTTAGAAGGATATTGGAAGCGAGGCCCGCTGGAAGCAACGCTGCTCGCCCCACCGTTTGCGTGGCTCGCTGGGCGGCTTGCTGTTGCCGGAAAAGTGGAGAGGAACGTGGTCGTGCAGACACGCTGGGTGTTGGAAGCGCGTCCGCCGCGGCCCAGGCGCGGCGGACACAGACGGCGGCCCGAGTCCCAGCAAACGGTAACGTTAGCACAGTGAGTGGTCACAAGGAAGTAAGTCAGCGGCAAGGTGAGGCCATAGGAAGCTTCTGTTAATTGAGCCCGGGGTTAACGGTAGTGCAAGGACTGGCGGTGGCGGTGACTTTTCAGGGAGAGCCGCCTGCAGGAGGGAGGGCTGCTTCCCGCTGTGCTTCCCGCTGTGCGGCGCCAGGGTGTCTTGACCCCCCCCCCCAATCTGCTGAGCCCTCGATTCTGAGGCCGAGGCCGCGATAAGGACGAGGAAGCTTCTGCTTCCACTTCCTGAGAACAGTGTGTCGTGTCAATTGAGAACAACAGAGTCGCTTGGAGACGTTTTAATCAGAGGAGGAACCGGTCTCGTGAGCCTGGAGGGACGTTGGTTCACGTGAACGGAGGACAGTGCTGGCCCCTTCGTGTTGTCCCCGTGGGGCGTCGTCTGGGTTAGAGAATGCTGGCTGAATGGTGGGGCCGTCGTGCGTCACCGTCACCCCCACTGGGAGTGAGTGCCAGTGGCAGCTGCCGGAGCGCCCGCTCCGTTAGGTTTGGGACATCGGATCCCCTCCCTCGGCTCGCCCTGTGGCAGCGACTCAGCTGTGCCCGACCAGCAGCCTCACTGGGGAACTTGTTAGAATTTCGGATTCTTGCCCGGCCGTCGTGGCTCAGGGTTGAGCGTCGACCTATTTAAGAACCAGGAGGTCAGGGTTCGATTCCCGGTCAGGGCTCCTGCCCTGGTTGCTGGCTCGATCCCCAGTGTGGGGCGTGCAGGGGGCAGCCGGTCCATGATTCTCTCTCATCTTTGATGTTTCTCTCCCTCTCCCTCTCCCTTCCCCTCTGACATCAATTTAAAAAAAAAAGGGGGCAGGACCTTCCTCCCTGCTGCCTGTGGCGCCAGGCGACCCTTCCTCACACAGAGGGGCTCTGCCAGCGGGGAGTGCCCAGGGAGGGCCTGGCCACGAGTTAGGGGACCCCGGTGCTCAGTGCCGCCCCTCCACGTGGGGCAGGGCTGCCTGTGAGTGGCCGGCCTGTGCCCGCTGGGCAGAACGGCCACTCCCCCCCTCCCCCGCCCCCCGCCTGTGACCTCTGCCCCGTCAGCATTTGCTGAGTGAGGTTGGCTTTGGCTTTGGCTTAGAGGGCATGCGTGCCGGCACAGCTCACTGGGCAGACCTGCGTGTTTCCTGGCCCTTTGGACTCTGATGAGCAGGCCTCAGATGTCACTGCTGACGGGCCTGGAGCCGGACTGTGCGGTGCAGACCCGGCGGGGACTGCCGCGGGTCCGATGAGGGCTGGCAGCTGTGTGCACCAACGTCTCACCATGAGGTCTGTGGATGGCCGCCTTGGCGGAGCAGGACTGCACACACTCACACACTCACATGTACACACTCACACATGCATACACGTACACACACTCACAGACATATACATGCTCACACACACACTCATATACATAGCCACACCCCACATGCACACATGTATGCACATTTGTACGCACAGACTTATGCATGCTTATATACACATGCATTCATAAACATACACACTCAACACATACATGCACACCCCAAATGCACACTCAGATACATGCACACACTCCTCCACACACATGCCTACACATGTGCGCATGTGGACACACGTTTTAACAAGTTGCACACTCCTCTGCTGCGACGCGGGGTGCTTGGTAGGAGGCCGCAGCACAGGCGTGAAGAGGGAGACGCAGGTGCAGCTGGGAGGCCAGGCCCCCGCCGCGGGCTGCTCAGTCTCGGAGGGACGCTGCCCCGAGGCTGCCCCGGGACTCAGGCCTCAGAGCTCTCGCTGCTGCGTGTCTGTGGTTTCCACGGGCCCTGGGGCTCCCCAGGAATGGCGAGGCCGGGCTCCTTTTCTCTCTGAAGCTGCGGTGGTGAAAGGCGGCCGCGTTTTACCTCCTCACACGCCGAGCAGCTCGCAGCTGGCAGTGAGGCGGCATCGGCTCTGCCGCGTCCGGCCGAGGCTGTGAGGGGTCAGCCACAGCAGGCGCCGGCCGCTCCGTGGGGAACTGGGAGAAGAAAGACCCTCACTTTGCTGTCCTTCCTGGAAAAGACCTTCCCTGCGGCCCTGGACTTAGACCGTCACGGAAAGGACTCTTCTCTCTGGGACTCTGTACGGGAACCGGGCTGCCTGCGTGATGTCCTGCGTGCCTTTGCCGGGTCGCGGGCTGCCCGCTGTGGTGGGGCGTGCGCTCTCCTTGGCGAGGAGCGGACGTTGGGGCTTGGTTCTCTGATTTGCAGGCTCGGGGACCGAGCCCTACGCACACACGGGGTCTTACATGTGAATGAGTTTCACGGGGAAGGGGGTGCGTGTGGTAGAAACGGACGCGCAGACAAGCATGCGGCCGGCTCTTGTTGGAGCCTCTGGCGCACCACCGTCCGTCACCTCCCTTCCTCCCACGTTGAAACGGGACCGGGAATGTGGGTGTGTGTGCTGGTCTGCGTGCAGGCGGGCCCTGGAGCAGGGCCTGGCCTGAGTGCCACTCGCGCGTGAATGACGGGTGTGACCCAGGTGGGCGTGGGGTTTGCGGGTGCCTGGCCCGGGGCTCTGTGCTGGGCTCCCTGACCGTGCGGGGACCGAGAGCCGGCGGGAGCCCCGCTTTCTGAGCGGCCGGTCCTACTGAGCGCCGCCTTCTCTCCTGCAGGCCTGCCCACGCCCCCGGCCAGCGAGCGCAGGGACCCGGACCCCAGGCGGATGCAGGTGCCGCCGGGCAACCCGCTGCTGCTCTCGCACACGCTGCAGGAGCTGCTGGCCCGCGACTCCGTGCAGGTGGAGCTCATCCCCGAGAAGAAGGGCCTCTTCCTCAAGCATGTGGAGTACGAGGTGTCCAGCCAGGTAACCCGCGGGCGGGGCGGGGCGGGCGGCCGGGCCGGACCTCGGGGACAGACCCAGGGGATGGCAGGGCCTTGCCGGGGGCGAGTCCCTGCGTCTTTTTTTTTTTTTTTTTTTTTGGTGAGTCCTCACCTGAGGATACTCTCTCCATTGCTTTTCAGAGAGAGGAAGGGAGGGAGGGGAGAGGGGAAGAGAGAGAGACCTTGATGTGAGAGAGAGACATTGACTGGTTACCCCCCACACACACCCGGACCGGGGGCGGGGAGTGAATTATCACCCAGGTACGTGCCCTTCACTGGGCATTGAATTTGCGACTCTTCGGTGCAGGGGCCGGCGCTCTAACCACAGAGCCGCCGGCAGGGCCGGCCCGCTGTCTGCTTGTGGCCTAGCCCCCCTAGCCCCCGTGCCCCGGGCAGCCTCATCGGCAGGATCCCAAGTAGCGTGGACACCCCCAACTTCCTGTTTCTTCCCATACACATAGTCAGTGCTTTTTACAGACACTCTCATGGGGGTGGTTTTAGGCCACAGCAAAGTGAAGCAGAAGGTACGGACTCTCCCACGGCCTGGCCCCCATGCACGGCCTCCTTGGCCACGTCCCCCCTGCGTGGGGCACTGGCTCCCCTCGGCGAGCGGCACCGACCTGCCCCGTCACCTGCCGTGGCCCACGGGCCCCTCGGGGTTGACGTGCTGTGGGTTTGGGCAAATGCATATGACGTGTCCCATGACCGTGTCGTGTCCTGCAGGGCAGTTTCACTGCCTGGTGTCTGGGGCTCCACCTGCTCACCCCTCTCCTCGTCCCGTAACCCCTGGCAACCACTGACCGTCCCTGCCCTCACAGTTTTGCCTTTTCCAGAGCGTCACAGACTCGGAATCACTCGGCGTGTAGCCCCCTCAGACCGGTTTTTCCACTGAGTAATGTTATTAGCGATCAGTGTAGCATGTTGCACTTTATTTTCATTTATTTTATTTTTTTATTGATTTCAGAGAGGAAGGGAGAGAGAGAGAAACATCAATGAGAGAGAATCATTGATCAGTTGCCTCCTGCACGCCCTCTACTGGGGATCGAGCCCACAACCTGGGCATGTGCCCTCGACTGGAGTCAACCTGGGACCCTTCAGTCCACAGGCCGACGCTCTATCCAGTGAGCCACACCGACTAGGGGCATGTTGAGCTTTAGGCACAGCTGCGCACACACGGTTCTCCTGCGAGCTCTGGTTATGCTGGACCCAGGCTGGGCTTCCCTGGTGACGAGGACGCTGTCCTCTGCAGCCGGCAGCCTCCCCAGCGCTGGGCCCACAGGTCCACAGCCCGCTGTGCACCCCATTTCAGTCCACGTTCCGTGTCTGGTCTGACGCTGGGGGGCGGAGCTGCTGTCTCAGCGTTATTTGCAGGTGTGTGTTGAGGACACCCCCCAGTGAACTAACGAATGCACTGTTCACCCTGGCTGGTGTGGCTCAGTGGGTACAGTGTTGGCCTGCGGACTGAAAGGTCCCGGGTTCGATTCTGGTCAAGGGCACGTACCTCAGTTGCAGCTCCCGGCCCTGACCTGGGGTGTGCAGGAGGCAACCAATCGATGTGTCTCTCTCACATCGTTGTTTCTCTCCGTCTCTCCCTTTCCTTTCCGCTCTCTAAAAATCAATGGAAAGATATCCTTGGGTGAGGATTAAAACAAAGGAATGCGCTGTTCTCTCTCGGATCCAGGTGATGTGGTTCCGTGACATCGGACTGCGCAGTGTGTAGCGGCTGCGTTACCAGACAAGGGAGTGGGGTCTGCCTTCGGTGGAGGCCGTGGTGGGGTGGTGGGCACACGAGGGAGGGAGGTGTCACTTCCGTGGGTCCTGCTGGGAGGTGGACCTGCTGGTGCCACGGCTGAGGCGGACCTGGCCTTGCAGCGCTTCCGGGCCTCCGTGTACAGACGGTACAACGACTTCGTGGTCTTCCACGCGCTGCTGCTGCAGAAGTTCCCCTACCGCATGGTGCCTGCCCTGCCGCCCAAGAGGATGCTGGGAGGTACAGCTGGGCCTGCGGGGGGAGAGGGGGTGTCAGGAGGGGGCTGCCCCGGGTGCTGGGCCCACCCTCCGCTCTGGGCCGTCTTCCCTGGCACAGTGCTTGCCCCTCGGTAATCCGTTCACGGGCCGGGCAGCCGAGTGGGACGGCACCGGTACCCGTGGCCTCCGCGGGCCTCTGCTCGGTGACTGACGGAGGCCCGCTGTGCCCGGGAAGGAGCGGACCGCCAGCTGCTTCCCGGCCGCGGCCAGCACGTCTGTCTGGGAGCCCCTGTGGGAGGCCCGAGCGGCCTGCTCTGCCTGCTCCCGGGAGTGAGTGGGTGGTTGCTCAGGGAGCGGGGAGTGCAGGGGCCTCCAATCTGACCTGCCTCTGAGAGGAGGTAAAAAGGCCGTCGGCGTTGCTGCCCCTGCACTTCCCTGGGGCCAGGCCCAGGCCCCTGTCCTGCCTGGCCTGTTTCTGCGGGTGCGGGTGCGGGTGCGGGTGCGGGGACGGCGGCTGCCTCCTGTCCTGTCTTGGTGACCTCGGTCCCACGGCCTGTCCCCGACCCGGAATGCACTGGAGAGGGCGCACGCCCAGGGCCGGCTGCTGAGATTCTCAAGTACGACGTCCCTGAATGGGAAACTAGGTTGAGATTTGATAGTTTGATAGTTTCCAGTTTCCCCTCCTGGCTGCCGGCTGTCCCCCTCCTGGCCGCCGGCTGTCCCCCTCCTGGCCGCCGGCTGTCCCCCTCCTGGCCTCCGGCTGTCCCCCTCCTGGCCGCCGGCTGTCCCCCTCCTGGCCGCTGGCTGTCCCAGGTCTAGAGAAGGGACTTTCCCGCCCGTGGGAGCCCGCAGGACACTCGCTCACAGGGCCTGCGGGGCCGAGTCCCGGGAGAGGGTGCTTGCTGAGACCCAGGCGCCAGGGTTGGCGGGTCGGTGAGTGGGGTGGAGTCTCGAGCCTGGAGCGGCAGGCACAGCCCAGGTGCATCGGGGACAGCCCGGCCTCTGCGCCGGGCTCCTGCTTCCCCAGGGGCGCCACAGTAACTCGGCAATGACCTTTTAGGCGGCTCCTCCTTAGGGCCAGACGAAGTGCCTCAAGGTACGCGCGCGGGCGGCTTTGCTTTCTGAGGGAAGCATTGGGCCCGGTGAGGCCTGCTGATCGGCTCCCTCCAGGGGGAGCGGCAGTGAGGTGAAGGGAGCGCTGGCGAATGGTGTGTGGCACGCCCTTCCCTGCCGGAGGTGACGGCGTCTGCCATGTGCAGACGCGGGGTCGGAAGAACGGGCTCCCGGCTTCCCTCGGCCGCCGACCACGCGTTTGTGGGGTGCGTGAGGGGCTCTGCTCCTCCTCCCGCAGCCTCCGTGGCGTGCCCGCCGCCCCCCCCCCCCCCCCCGGGGCTGCTGTGTGGAGAGTGCAGGGTCCCCGCCCGAGGGGGCGCCCAGACCCGGTGTGACCGAGCTCTGCCTGCAGCGGACAGGGAGTTCATCGAGGCGCGGAGGAGGGCCCTGAAGCGCTTCATCAACCTGGTGGCCCGGCACCCCCCCTTCTCGGAGGACGAGGTCCTCAGGCTGTTCCTGTGCTTCAGCGGCCCCGTGAGTACCCGCCCCGGGCCGAGGGCCTGCTGCCCGCTTGCCCTGTGCCCGGGTTTCCTGCCCTGAGATGGGGCAGCGGGGGGGGGGGGTGTTGGAGGCTCCTCCATCGTGACTTGGGGCTGGGCTGCTCTCTGTGCAGGTGGGACCTGGGCTGGAGAACAGTGGGGAGCGCAGGCTGGAGGTGGCCGGAGAGTGCGGGTCGCGTGTTCAGGCGGACGGGGAGCGCCTCCCTCGGGCGGGCTGAGCCCTGCTTGGACGACCGGTCTCGGACTGTCGGCGGCCGTGGCGGTCAGCGGCCTCTCTCTCCTTTCGCAGGACGTGCAGAGCAAGTTGAAGGAGTCGGCTCAGTGCGTGGGCGACGAGTTCCTGAACTGTAAGCTGGCGACTCGGGCCAAGGTACCGTCTGTTGGGGTCCGGCTCCCAGTGGCCAGGCAGCCCTGCCACATGGAGGGGTGCAGGGGGCAGAGACCCGCCATGCCATCGCGTTGCCCCGGCTTCGTGGCCGGGGCCACACCCACACCCACCGTGCAGGAGGGGCCAGGCCGCAGGGGCCACCTCGAGCTCAGACGTCTGAGCTGTGCGCCGGACACCAGGCTCGTCGTGACTCAGGTGGACACGAGCTCGCTGGCCAGCCTTTTGGATTTCTGGGGCTCGGTCTTCACCTGGTTTACGTTAACGTCAGTTCATCCGGTCTTTCCCGAAGGGTTAAGGCAGCTGTTGGCAGCTCTTTTCCTGCTTCCGCTGCTTCTCCACGTGAGCACGCCCTTGGCCTTCCTTCACGCCCTGAGCCCCTGCTTCCTGAGGGTGATGCCGTCAGCGTCAGGCTGGTGGGACGTGGCTGCGAGGCCTCCTCCCCTGACGGCCCGTCCCATTCTCCTCTCTCCACTGCAAGTCGCAGGCTGTGCCCAGGGTTTCTGCAGGCCTCTGGTTTCATCAGCTTCAGGGGACGCTGGAGTCGTAGCCTCGCTGGTCGTTCAGCTGTGTGTGCCTTGTGTGCCGTGTGCTATATACTGTGTGCGCCATGTGTGCCGTGTTTACTGTGTGTGCCATGTGCCGTGTGCGCCATGTGTGCCACGTGTACTGGTGTGTGCTGTGTGCACCGTGTGTGCCGTGTTTACTGTGTGTGCCATGTGCTGTGTGTGCCATGGGTGCTGTGTGCGACATGTGTGCCACGCATACTGGTGTGTGCTGTGTGGACTGTGTGTGCCGTGTTTACTGTGTGTGTCATGTGTGCTGTGTATGCCGTGTGCCGTGTGTGCCATGTGTGCCGTGTTTACTGTGTGTGCCATGTGCTGTGTGCACCATGTGTGCCGTGTGCTGTGTGCTGTGTGCGCCATGTGTACTGGTGTGTGCTGTGTGCCGTGTTTACTGTGTGTGCCGTGTGTGCCGTGTATGCCATGTGTGCTGTGTGTGCCATGTGCTGTGTGCCATGTGTGCCGTGTGTGCCGTGTTTACTGTGTGTGCCATGTGTGCTGTGTATGCCATGTGCTGTGTGCCATGTGTGCCGTGTGTGCCGTGTTTACTGTGTGTGCCGTGTGTGCCGTGTGTGCAGTATTTACTGTGTGTGCCACATGTGCTGTGTGCGCCATGTGTGCGGCGATGTTTGTTTTCTCTTACCCACGCTGGGGTGCAGGACCCCGGCTGGTCCCCACGGGACCTGGATTTGGGAGCCCGTGTCCTCTGGGTCTCCTGTGCTGAGAGCGTCCACGTGTGGTGGTTCATGGTCACAGCCCCCCTCTCCTCCCGCCAGGACTTCCTCCCCGCCGACATCCAGACGCAGTTCGCGGTCAGCCGGGAGCTGATCCGGAGTGTCTACAACAGCTTCTACAAGCTCCGCGACCGGGCCGAGCGGATGGCGGCCAGGGCCATCGACAACGCTGCTGACCTCCTCATCTTCGGGAGGGAACTGAGGCAGGTGGCCCGGAGGCTCACGGGCCCGAGGTGGGAGGGGCCTTAGGCTTTGGTGCTGGGCTTATGCATTTCCCATCATCACCCTGTTCTGACCTGTCCCGCTCCTGCAGGGAGGGGAGGGGTGCACATGGGCTCACCCCTAGAAGGAGAGGTGGAGAGTTTAGGCAGAAGCCTCGATTCCCACACATGGCGCTTGCCGGCTCCTCGTAGGCCATTTCCCTGCTGTCAGGGTTAGACCTCCGATTGGTTTGAGCTTGGGAAGGTCATGGCGGCTGTGGCTGCCCCCCCCCCCCCCCCAGCCCCGTCCCCAGGAGAGGCCTTCCCCGGACTCCGCCCTCCACAGAGGACTGGCTCCCAGGCCCGCCCTGCACCCGCAGAGGCCTCGGGAGGAGTGGGAGAGCGGTTCTGGGCTGAGGCCCTTCCTCCCCGTAGTCCCCAGGTGTCCCGTGGCCGCTGAGCAGCGAGGGTCCGGTCAGGAGATGTGCGGGGACCCCGTGACGTGTTGGGCGGAGGCCGGTGTCAGCTTGGACTGCCGGCAGCTTCCGGGCCCTGAGTGTCTCCTGTTGCGTTTTCCTTCAGCGCTTTAGGGTCCGACACGACCCCGCTCCCCTCCTGGGCCGCTCTGAACAGTAGCACATGGGGGTCCCTGAAGCAGGCGCTGAAAGGCCTGTCCGTGGAGTTCGCTGTGCTCGCAGACAAGGCCGCACAGCAGGTGAGTGATGGGCGCCCGCCGCACCCGCTCCAGAGCGCCGGGCCGTGGCCACACGGCTCCCTCTTCCCAGGGAGCCTCGGGGCTTGGGGGCCCCTGGAACCCCGGTGCAGGATGCAAGTCCCTCTCTGGATCAGTTTTAGCGTCTTTTCTGATTCAGCCTCGGGGCTGTTCCCGCCTAGAGAGGGCGGAGGTCGGCCCTGACGTGGAGCGAGGAGCGGGCCCTCCGGCTCTAGGCCCCTCCGGCTCCAGGCCCTTCCGGCTCCAGGCTCTGCTCTGAGCTCACGGACGAAGGGTGTCATTTCCCACAGCTTCGCTGACCTTGGTGGTTTTCACGTTGATGTGAAATTAGTTCTAACACGAAACCGGATCAGACCACCGCCCATCAGGACTTTCTCCGACTCAGCTACGGCCCTTTTCACGCTCGCTGAGCGCAGAGGCATCTGGGGCTGGTGGTCGCAACTGTAAGAATGGATCCTGGTTGTTCTCCCCAGACCGGCCGGGAGGCCTAGGGAACCGCCCAGCCTGTGGGTGCGTTGTGGACAGGGTGTGTGCCTTTGGTAACGGCGCGGGTGCGGTGTGCGGGGTTGCGTGCGGCCTGGGGCCAGCAGGGGCCTGTTGGCAGATGACACGGCCAGGAGGGAGCCCCGAGTGCCCTGCTCCGTTCGGGCTCCTCTCCCGGTCAGGAGGGGCCGGGCTCTGGTCCCTGGGTACTTTCCTGGAACCTCACTTATTAGTACGTGGCTGTGGGTGTGGGCTGCAGTGGCCTGGAACCCCTAAGGCCAGGCATGCGGGGGACCTGAGGGACTCCGGGCCCCCCAGTTGGTGCCCAGCCTGGCAGGAGCCCCAGGCTCCCAGGCCACTGCTCGTATCCCCATCAGACTTGCCCTCCTCACCTCTCCCCGCTGTGGGCTTTGGGGTGAGCTTTCCATGGTCGGCCACACAAGCTCTCGATGTTGTAGTGGGACCCTGTTTCCCCGAGCCCATGTTCCACCTGGGGAGCTGCTGGGAGGGTGTCGCGGCGCCCGGCTCTCCTGGTGTGCGTGGGCGATGTGGGCTTTGGAGCGCGGGAGGGACACGCAGTGCTGGACGGTGAGCACATGTGGGCGGGGGCGGGGTGAGGCTGTGTTCTCATCCAACTGCTGGATCCATGGCTTCTCTGCCTTGTGCTGGGCCTGCCTGTGGGGGGCTGGGTCCGGGGAAGGGCCTGCAGGGCAGGTCCCAGGGGCAGGTCTGGGGCAGGTCCCAGGCCCTGTGCTGGGCGCCAGGTAACCAGCCTGTTTCCCAGGGCAAACAGGAGGAGGACGCCGTGGTGGAGAAGCTGAACCTCTTCCTGGACCTGCTCCAGTCGTACAAGGTGAGTCTCAGCTGCGCCTGCGTGTTCACGCATGCATGTGTATGTCTCTGCGTGAGTGTGTGCATATGTATGTCTGTGTTTGAATGTGTGCATGTCTGTGTCTCTGTGTGAGTGTGTGCATGTGCATGTGTTTGTGTGTATGTATGTATGTCTCTGTGCATGTGCACATCTGTGTTTGTGTGTGTATATGTGTGTATGTCTCTGAGTGTGTGCATGTGTATGTGTTCATGTGCATGTATGTATGTCTCTGTGTGCATGTGCATGTCCGTGTTCACGTGTGTATATGTGTGTATGTCTCTGTGTGAGTGTGTGCATGTCTGTTTGCACGTGTATATGTGTCTCTGTGAGTGCGTGCATGTCTCTGTGTGAGTGCATGCGTGTTTACGTGTATGTCTGTGTGTGTGCCTGTTTGAATGCATGTGTGTTTGTGTGTATGTCTGTGTCTGTGTATATGTCTCCATGTGAGTGTGTATGCATGTGTGGATGAATGCGTGTGTGTTCACGTCTCTGTGTGTGTGAGTGCATGCATGTGAGTGTGTGCACGTGTGCCTGTGGGGATGGCCTGGCCCTGTGAGCAGGCGAGGGCTTCCCTGTGCAGAGGAGCTCGCCTGTGGGGGGGGAGGGGCGCCGGGCCCAGGGTGCCGCCCCAGCCCCGCGGGGCGGTTCTGTCTGGGGTGGGTGAGGCGCCCGGGGTGCTGGCCTCAGCCCCGTGGGGCGGTTCTGCCTGTGGGGGGGTGGGCGCCCGAGGTGCTGGCCTCAGCCCTGTGGGGCGGTTCTGCCTGTGGGGCTTCCTGACGGGACGTCTAACCTGTGAAGCCCAGAGCCCTTTGTGCTGAGCTCAGGAGCTGCCAGCGCTGTGGGAATGTTCCAGAAGGGCCTGCTCCACCGAGAGGCTGGTGGCAGGTGGCCTTGGGAGCCCCAGCCCAGTGACCGTGTGGCTGGTCCCCCAGACTTCTGCTGGGAGGTGGGTGCGCCCTGGGTGAGGCTGTGCACCTCCTTGCTGCCGGCGGGACGGGCAGCGTGCCAGTCCGGCCCAGACGCCCACCCCTGCGCTGTCCACGCGGTGTTTCACGTGGTGGTTTGTGGTCCCCCCGGGCCCACCCGAGCTGCTCTGCCAGGAACGCCTTCAGGAGCGAGTGAGCGGGTGCTGAGCTGTTGGCAGGAGGAGGTCATTCCCGGGGAGTCCTCACGCAGGACGGTCACGCACCGACGGGTCCGAGCCGCACGCCCCCCGTCCTCCCCGTGGGGCCCTCCTGTGGGGTGGCTCCAGCTCTCGCTCCCCCCAGGACCTGTGTGAGCGGCACGAGAAGGGCGTGCTGCACAAGCACCAGCGGGCCCTGCACAAGTACAGCCTCATGAAGCGGCAGATGAGCGCCGCCGTGCACAGCCACGAGCCCGAGTCCGTGGAGCAGCTGGAGTCGCGCATCGTGGAGGTGCTCGGGCATGGGGGCATCGTGGGGGGCATCATGGAGGTGCTCGGGCATGGGGGCATCGTGGGGGGCATCGTGGAGGTGCTCTGGCATGGGGGCATCGTGGGGGGCATCATGGAGGTGCTCTGGCATGGGGGCATCGTGGGGGGCATCGTGGAGGTGCCCGGGCATGGGGGCATCGTGGGGGGCATCGTGGAGGTGCCCGGGCATGGGGGCATCGTGGGGGGCATCGTGGAGGTGCTCTGGCATGGGGGCATCGTGGGGGGCATCGTGGAGGTGCCCGGGTGTGGGGGCATCGTGGGGGGCATCGTGGAGGTGCTCGGGCATGGGGGCATCGTGGGGGGCATCGTGGAGGTGCTCGGGCATGGGGGCATCGTGGGGGGCATCGTGGAGGTGCTCGGGCATGGGGGCATCGTGGGGGGCATCGTGGAGGTGCTCGGGCATGGGGGCATCGTGGGGGGCATCGTGGAGGTGCTCGGGCATGGGGGCATCGTGGGGGGCATCGTGGAGGTGCTCGGGCATGGGGGCATCGTGGGGGGCATCGTGGAGGTGCTCTGGCATGGGGGCATCGTGGGGGGCATCGTGGAGGTGCACGGGTGTGGGGGCATCGTGGGGGGCATCATGGAGGTGCACGGGTGTGGGGGCATCGTGGGGGGCATCATGGAGGTGCTCGGGCATGGGGGCTTCGTGGGGGGCATCGTGGAGGTGCTCGGGCATGGGGGCTTCGTGGGGGGCATCGTGGAGGTGCTAGGGCATGGGGGCATCGTGGGGGGCATCGTGGAGGTGCTCTGCACAGGAATGGGGGTGGGGAGGCGGAAGGAGAGGCCTGGACCTGCCTCCGCTGGACCCAGAGCCACACTAGGGGTCTCCGTGGTGGCTGTGGGCACCTCCAACGCCTGGCTGGGCCGGGCGGGAGTTGCAGGGGGAGGCCCGGGGAGGCAGTGCGTTGGCGGACCGCCCGCCAGGCCGGAGCAAGGAGGCTCTTTGTCTGCAGCAGGAGAACGCCATCCAGACGATGGAGCTGCGGAACCACTTCTCGCTGTTCTGCCTGCACCAGGAGACGCAGCTGGTGCACGCCTACCTGCCCCTCACCTCCCATATCCTCGGGGCCTTCGTCAGCTCCCAGATCCAGGGCCACAAGGAGGTGGGCTCCCCGCGCCGCCGGCTCGGCCAGCTGGCCCTGCCGTTTCTTAGGAACGTTAGTGGGAGAGCAGGGCCTGGACGCGGGTGAGGCCGTCCTGACTTGGGGGGGGGGGGGGAGCAGAGCAAGACAGGAACAGTCCTACCTCCTGGACTCCAGGAGCCGCAAGAGCAGATCCCAGAACTGAGAGGCGGGTGTGAGGGGAGGAGGGGCCCCGAGTGGGCCTCCCAGCGCTCGGCCATCCCCAGGTGGGGCTCCTGAGCCGGTGGGAGACGTGGTGCCCTGGGACGTGGACGCTGCGGCCACACCTGCTGGTTCCACTGACCTAGGGCAGCGGTTCTCAACCTGTGGGTCGTGACCTCTTTGGAGGTTGAACGACCCTTTCACAGGGGTCGCCTAAGACCATCGGAAAACACATCTATAATTACGTATTGTTTTTGTGGTTAATCACTATGCTTTAATTATATTCAATTTGTAACAATGAAAATACATCCTGCATATCAGATATTTACATGACGATTCATAACAGTAGCAACATTACAGTTATGAAGTAGCAACGAAAATGATTGTATGGTTGGGGGTCACCACAACATGAGGAACTGTATGAAAGGGTCACGGCATTAGGAAGGTTGAGAACCACTGCCTTAGGAGCTGGTCCCATGCAGCCCCCCAGCCCTGCTTCTGTCCTGGGGTCCTTGCACGCTCCTTGTTAGCCCTGGGGGCGCAGTCTCCTAAGCGGGTGCATCTGCCGGGCCACCCCCGGCTCCTTGGCTCGGTGCGGGGTCTGAGGCTCGGGATTGCTGAGGCCCTGACCCAGATCCCAGGCCTGCACGGAGCGCTCGTGGCTTGGTGGCCAGTACCTCCGTGGCACGGATTTCCTGCCTGAACAAGGGCATGAGACACAGCGGCGGGCACTCGGGGCTGGGCTACACGCAGCCACCTGGCCTGTGGCCGTGCTGGGCGCAGCTGGACTCGGCGTCCCTGCCCCAGCCTGGGCGCTGTGGGGCTCGGCGGGCTGGCTGCAGGCCCTCTTCTTACATCTCGTCTGCTTGTGTGGTGCCTGGAGGAGGCTGTGCCGGTGTCAGCTGTTCGAGAGAGCGCCGGAGGTGACAGGGTGTTTCCTAAAACCCCGTGGCCAGCAGACCTGTGCCCCTCAGTCCTGTGTGCAGGGGACAGGGACTGGCCACCCGGCACCTCTGGTTTCGGGCCACCCCTCGTTTGGGCTTTGTCTGTGGAGGAATGGGGGTGACGCAGGGAGTGGAGAGGGCAGCCCGGTGGTGGCATGTCCCCCCTCGCCGACACCTGGCGGGCTGTCCTGGGTGTCCTGTGAAGAGCTGTGCGCTGGGCGGTGCCACCGGCTGACCCTGTGCCCTCCCTGCAGATGAGTAAGGTGTGGAACGACCTGAAGCCCAAGCTGCACTGCCTGTTCTCGGGACCCGCCAGCGCCCTGACCCCGCCTCGGTCCCCGCGGGACGGCCTGTCTCCGCACTAGTGCCGAGAGGACCCGGCGCCCCCACTAAAACGTCTTTCCAAACGGTGTGTCCCTGTTTAATTCCGTCCAGATGGCAGCTGTTCCCCGTCCCCCAGCTGCCATCGCCCGCAGACGAGCTGCCCGGAGCTGGTGGGGCCGGGACCCAGGTGCCGTGGCTCCCCCCTCCCCTCGTGGGAGCAGGGCCGGGACAGACCCCGGGTCTGAGTGTCCGCTGAAGCGGAGGCAGGCGGGGTCTGCTGGGTTGTCACGTGTACATGGGCCCCGGCCCCGGCACTGGCCTGTTAGTCTGGGGGTGAGAAGAGTTAAGATGCCCTGGAGTGGTTTTCTCCCGACACCAGAGGGCAGGGTGGCAAGGATATTCTCCCAGCTGATGGTGCCTGGGTGTGTGCAGGGACCCCGCGTTCAGGGACAGTGGGGTGATGGGCTGCATCAGCTGAGCAGGGAGGAGGCTGACACCCCACAGAGGGCAGGCCGGCCTTGCAGCCCGCACGCCATGTGGTCAGCCGGCAGCCCGGGGCGGGTGGCCGTGCGAGAGCGTTTGAGCTGCAGCACCCGGGTCACTGGGTGCAAACTGTTTCCGGAGGACAAGCCCCGGCGCGGGGCCTGGCCTGGGATTGGCCTGCAGGCAGTGTCCTGGTCCCCCCTGCACACGCACACGCACACGCACACGCACAAGCTGTCACTGATGCTGTGCTGGGGCTGGGGGCGGAAGGCCGGTGCTGTCTGCTCGGTGCCAGGAGCTGCCCTGTCCTTTTTGGGGGTTGATGCCCCTTTTTTGGTGCTTGGGGTGGAGGAGCGAGGAGGGTGGCCGGGGGGTGCTGTTCTGGCGGCGGTGGCCCAGGGGCCTCTTGCTGTGGTTAACCCTTCAAACTACCTTACTTCTCTGGGGACTAGAACCCTCCTCCCAGCCTCTCTTGCCCTGGTCACCCAGCCACCTTTCCCAGGGCCCGGGGATGGTGCCCCCAGCCCTCTCCCAGGGCCCGGGATGGTGTCACCCAGCCACCTCTCCCAGGGCCCGGGATGGTGTCACCCAGCCACCTCTCCCAGGGCCCGGGATGGTGTCACCCAGCCACCTCTCCCAGGGCCCGGGATGGTGCCCCCAGCCCTCTCCCAGGGCCCGGGATGGTGTCACCCAGCCACCTCTCCCAGGGCCCGGGATGGTGCCCCCAGCCCTCTCCCAGGGCCCGGGATGGTGTCACCCAGCCACCTCTCCCAGGGCCCGGGATGGTATCACCCAGCCACCTCTCCCAGGGCCCGGGATGGTGTCACCCAGCCACCTCTCCCAGGGCCCGGGATGGTGTCACCCAGCCACCTCTCCCAGGGCCCGGGATGGTGTCACCCAGCCACCTCTCCCAGGGCCCGGGATGGTGCCCCCAGCCCTCTCCCAGGGCCCGGGATGGTGTCACCCAGCCACCTCTCCCAGGGCCCGGGATGGTATCACCCAGCCACCTCTCCCAGGGCCCGGGATGGTGCCCCCAGCCCTCTCCCAGGGCCCGGGATGGTGTCACCCAGCCACCTCTCCCAGGGCCCGGGATGGTATCACCCAGCCACCTCTCCCAGGGCCCGGGATGGTGTCACCCAGCCACCTCTCCCAGGGCCCGGGATGGTGTCACCCAGCCACCTCTCCCAGGGCCCGGGATGGTGTCACCCAGCCACCTCTCCCAGGGCCCGGGATGGTGTCACCCAGCCACCTCTCCCAGGGCCCGGGATGGTGTCACCCAGCCACCTCTCCCAGGGCCCGGGATGGTGTCACCCAGCCACCTCTCCCAGGGCCCGGGATGGTGCCCCCAGCCCTCTCCCAGGGCCCGGGATGGTGTCACCCAGCCACCTCTCCCAGGGCCCGGGATGGTATCACCCAGCCACCTCTCCCAGGGCCCGGGATGGTGTCACCCAGCCACCTCTCCCAGGGCCCGGGATGGTGTCACCCAGCCACCTCTCCCAGGGCCCGGGATGGTGTCACCCAGCCACCTCTCCCAGGGCCCGGGATGGTGCCCCCAGCCCTCTCCCAGGGCCCGGGATGGTGTCACCCAGCCACCTCTCCCAGGGCCCGGGATGGTATCACCCAGCCACCTCTCCCAGGGCCCGGGATGGTGTCACCCAGCCACCTCTCCCAGGGCCCGGGATGGTGTCACCCAGCCACCTCTCCCAGGGCCCGGGATGGTGTCACCCAGCCACCTCTCCCAGGGCCCGGGATGGTGTCACCCAGCCACCTCTCCCAGGGCCCGGGATGGTGTCACCCAGCCCTCTCCCAGGGCCCGGGATGGTGCCCCCCGCCCTCTCCCAGGGCCCGGGATGGTGTCACCCAGCCACCTCTCCCAGGGCCCGGGATGGTGTCCCCCAGCCACCTCTCCCAGGGCCCGGGATGGTGTCACCCAGCCACCTCTCCCAGGGCCCGGGATGGTGTCACCCAGCCACCTCTCCCAGGGCCCGGGATGGTGTCACCCAGCCACCTCTCCCAGGGCCCGGGATGGTGTCACCCAGCCCTCTCCCAGGGCCCGGGATGGTGTCACCCAGCCACCTCTCCCAGGGCCCGGGATGGTGTCCGGCAGCTCTGGGGTGGGAGTGGTGCTTCGTGCCGAGTCCATCTGAACAGGAGCAGACAGGACCCCGCGGGGCAGGCGCTGGAGGCAGCTCTGGCTGCACCACAGGATTGTGGGATCGTGGGGAGCCTGCCTTCCAGGGCGCCTGCCTGACTCGGGGTCTCTTGTCTGATGTAGCCCCTCTTCCTCGTGGCGTGCGGGACCGACCGGAGGGGAGGCTCTGAGGACCGCGGCTGTAGAGGGGCTGCCCACGCCGGGCTGTCCTGGCTCGTGCCACTCCCTCCCTTGCGCCCAGCAGTAACCAGACACTCGCCACCATTGGCCCAAGATGCAGAGCCCGAAGCCTGCGGGACTCGCTGACGCTGAGGGTGGGTCTGCAGCCGGGCCCTTCCTGCGAGTCAGCCCGGTGAGGGAAGCACTTTACGCCCCGAATCCGTGACTGCCACAGCAAACTGGAGTTGTTTACAAACGGTCCACAGTCCCAGGTTTTCGCCAAGAAACTAACATGAACTGTTATTAAACATATTTATAAAAGTTGGGTGAGGTTGTGAGCTATTTGTGTGAGTGGGTGGTGCCCCCTCCTCTTGGGTTAAGGGAGGGCGACCAGGGTTTTAGCCTTGGCCCCGACCATGCCTCGGTTTCCCCTGGTCTAAAGAAAGGATCACAGGGGTGGTGAGGACCTGCCGCCTGCCCACCTCCACAATCCCAACAAGAGCCGCGGCACCAAGCCAATCAGCGGCAACACTCCCCCACCCCTCCCCGCGGTCCCAGAAGCTTCCCCCTTCGCCCGCAGCCTTGTTTTCCTGCTGTCTGCCCACTGGTGCCGTCACGGCCAAGCGTGCCTGCTGGCGTCCCGAGCACAGGCCTGGCGAGAACTGAAAAGGTGAAAGACATTTATTTTCCTTCCCATCCACTCACGTTCCAAACACAAAAACCCAGGCGTGGTTCGCCCGGTGGGCCCACGTGCAGTGCGGCTGTGACTGCGGCCGGAGGGGCACGCGTGGTCCTGCCGCTAGGCCGTGTCCACCTCGCGCAGCCTGTAGTCCAGGATGGTGTCCTGGCCCTGGAACTTGAAGTAGCCCTGGAACTTCTTCTTCTGGAGCAGGAGGGGAAACCAGTAGCTGTCGTCTGGCCACATGTGGGCGAAGGGGATCTGGTCCAGGGGGAACCACTGAGGCCGCATCTCTGGGTGGAAGGAGCACGGATTCCAGCCCGGACTGAACCGGCCCGAGGAGCCCGCGAGCAGTGCTGCCAGGAGCACCTCCACTGGGTCCTCAGGCTGTGGTTGCAGAGTAGGACGGGGTCGGGGTGCTGGTGCCCTGGGGCCTGCCTCCCGGGAGGGCAGGGGCAGGGCTGCCCGGGTGGCGTGGACTCACCCTCGCTCTCCGTGGGCGTCCCCTGCACGCTGTCCGCGCAGAAGATGTGCACGTCCATCAGCTCGGGCTCCCCCACGAACTCGAACGTGATGTGGCCCACCTTGTGCAGCGCGTCCACGGTCACCCCGCACTCCTCCTGCAGCTCCCTGCGGGGCGGGGAGGCCACAGCTGGAGCCGGTGCCGTCCTCAGAGCCCCCAGCACAGTGCCCGGGAGATAAAGAGCGACAGAGGTTTTTTTAAAATTAATTTTTTAAATATTTAAATTCTTAAAAAAAAATACATATTCTTATTGATTTCAGAGAGGAAGGGAGAGGGAGAGAGAGAGAAACATCAATGATGAGAATCACTAATCAGCTGCCTCCTGCATGCCCCTCACTGGGGATCGAGCCCACAACCCAGGCATGTGCTCTGATCAGAATCAAACTCGGGACCCTTAAGTCTGCAGGCAGATGCTCTATCCACTGAGCCAAACCAGCCAGGGCCAGAGTATTTGTACACAGAAGGGAAATGCATGCTCTGGACCTCTTGAGGGGTGGGGGTCAGGGCAGTGACGGGCCACTGGTTTGGGTGCAGACTCGCTGTGGACCTTGTGGCTGCCCAGGCCTGCCTGTCAGCTGCTTGGCTCTCACGGGAGGAGGGTGGTAGAGCTGGGAACCCCCACCCGTCCACGGCTCCTGCTCCCCCGCGGCTGCAGCTCGCGGGAACCTGGGTCCTGAACTGAAGCCTTTCCGCCAGAACAATCATCCCCCCTCTCTCCGTCCCTCCCCCCTCCCACGCTGGGCACAGGGTCCCACTGCAGGCAGGGCCCAGCTGTTTTAACTCTGGTCCAGAAAGGAGACCCTTCACCCTCCAGGGCGTCGAGCTTTGGGCCTGTCTCTTCGCTCCCCGCCTTCGGCCTGTTCTCAGAGGAGGTAAGGTCAGTCCGGCACCAGCACAGCCAGGATGGCCCGGCCACGCCAGGGCAGGCACCCGTTTTAAAATGTTTCTAGTTGCATCTGATGGCAGACACTCTGGCAAGCAGCCCGGGACCCCTCACCCAGAAGGAGCCTTGCACCCCCACACCCTGCAAGGAGCTGCAAACGTCACACCGTGTACCCGCTTTACACGCAGCAGAGCGGCTCGGCCTCAAGGACTTCAACCGGTTTTTCCACTGCTGCTAACAGAGGAACAGTTTCCACCTGCTCATCACGAAGCCCCTGGCCTGAGCCCTGAGCCCCGAGTGCGGGTACACCGCACCGCTGACCCCCCCGCCCCCCCCAATCTGCGCAGCGCGGCTCCATGGCTTGGCGGCCCGTCACCCGGCAGGCCAGGGCCTGGATCTGTGCTGGGGACTCGGGCTGCCGCGGCAGCCCTGGAACTGGGAGCCTGAGCCTCGGTTTAGCGATCGCCCTCCCCCACGGCCCTGTATTTATCTGTCTCTATAAAAACGTTCTAGTTATGCCTGCCCTTTGTCCTTGTAGGTGAAGTTTCTTTAGCTTCATCTCCAGGAGGCCTTCGCAGCATGATAGTTCTGTCTCTGCCTCTACCGAGGACGCAGACACATTGGGTGAAGAGCCTAATCCTGCGGATCACCCTGACCTCTGGAGGCTATTTCAGCCGTAATTTATCCGCTGAGATGCTGCAAGAGAGTCAGACGCAGGAGCTCAGCGGCCACCGCCTCTCCTCTCGGCAGCAGCTGGCGGATCTTGTCTTTGAAACCTTCACCTCCTGAGTCAACATTCTGACTAACTGGTTCAGGGCAGTATGAGAAACGCCAGTACCCCCTCCCGGCAAAGCTACAGCTCCTGGGGTGACCGACAGCAGGGACGGCGGATAATTAACACCTCAGTGAGGTATCAGCCCGCCTACCAGAGCGGCCCCCAGCACAACAGCTTCCCAACTGAGTCCCAAAAACCACCCCACCCCCGAAGCAGCTAACGGGTACTCAGTTATGTGCAGCCCCAGTCTTCACAACCATCCTAAGGGGTAGATACTGTTATCTTTAAACATTTTTATTAAATGTTTTTATTGATATTAGAGAAGAAGGGAGGGGGGAGGGAGAGAGAGAAACATTGATGTGAGAGAGAAACATCGACTGGTACCTCCAGTACCACCCCTCGGGGGACAGAACCTGCGACCTGGGCTCGTGCCCTGACCAGGAATGGAACTGGCAACCTTGCCGTGCACGGGACGACACTCCACCAACTGAGCCACACTGGCCAGGGCCTGTTGTTACTCCCGTTTTGCAGATGAAGACACTGAGGCTCAAGGGTTAAGCACCTGCTCCAGGTCACATAGCTCAGAAGGGTGAAACCAGGGGTCTGGCTCTACGGCTGGAATCTGCATCCCCTGCCGGAGCCGGGCCTGCGGTCAGGCCCGAGCCTCCCTCACCTCTTGGCCCCGTCCTCGATGGTCTCTCCTTCGTGAACTTTGCCCCCGAAGCCATTCCAGCGGCCGGCCCCGAAGCCCCGCTTCTTCATGCCCAGGAGCACGCGCTGAGGCTGCAGCACCAGCACCAAGGTGTAGAGCCTGGAGGCGCTCATGGTCCCGGGTCCGAGGAGGAAGGCGGGCGGGTTGGCTTGACTTGGGCGCGGTGGGGTTGGGGGTGGTGGTGGATGGAAGCAGGTGTGCTGCGGGGGCAGGGGCAGGTGGGGCAGAAATGTGCTCTGGAAGGAAGGGGAAGCCTGCTGGTGACCTCCCAGCTCTGCACTGTCCATGAGCGAAAGGTCTGGGCTGGCGGGAGGCCTGGCCTTCATACCCTGAGGCAGCAGGAGGGGCGGGGGGGGGGGGCGCGGACACACCTTCCCTTCCCCGCCCTAGCGCAGGCCCCGCTTTAGCACGTGCTCCTCTACACAAGGAGGGCAAGTCCAACCGGAGTGCTCAGTGGCTGAGCATCCACCTGTCAACCAGGAGGTCAGGGTTCGATTCCCGGTCAGGGCACGTGCAAAGGTTGCGGGCTCCATCCCCACTGTGGGGCCTGCAGGAGGCGGCCGATCCATGATTCTCTCTCACCATTGATGTTTCTCTCTCCCCCTTCCTTCCTCTCAGAAAGCAATAAAAATATATTTTAAAAAAGCAGGAAGGCAGTCCTGCCCGCTCGCCCACTGGCACCAAGATAAGCATCAGTTTGCCCCAGGGCTGTCCGTCCCCCTCTGCCGGGTGCACTGGCCCCCGCTCACCTGGTCCCTGCTCCCCAGCTCACCTGCCCGGGGTTCCCTGATCCCTGCTCCCGAGCTCACCTGCCCGGGGTTCCCTGGTCCCTGCTCCCCAGCTCACCTGCTCGGGTTCCGTGCGCTTTCAGGCCGGCGCGCTGTTTCCGGGGGCGTGGCCTCGGGCGGAAGCGGAGCCAGCACTTCCGGCGGCGGGAGCGGGTCAGCGCTGATGGCAGGGTGAGCGGTGGCGGGCGCGCGGGGTGCCGAGGGGGGCGGCGGGCGGCGAGGGGGGCGGCGGGCGGCGAGGGGGGCGGCGGGCGGCAGGGCACGTGCGGTCTGCGCTCAGCGGCACTTATGCGGCGCCTGCTGCATGCGCGCAGGAGGCGGGAGTGGCCGGGGGCCCGCACGGGTGTCCTCGTCCGGACGGACACCAACTCGCCTCCGTCCTGGCCCGGGCTCGGTCCGCCCGGACATGGGGGGCTGCGGACACGAAGCAAACAGTCGGCGAGGCTCCGAGGAGCGACGGGCGGGCAGAGAGCGGTACCGGGTTTTAGGAAGAGGAGGGGCAGGTGAGGGGGTCCCCGCAGGTGGAGAGGAGGGGGCCCGCAGGTGGAGGTGAAGCTGGTGAAGAGCACCCAGGCCTCCAGGCTGTGGCTGCTGAGAAAGGAAGCTGATTGGCCGAATCCGGGATGTGGCTGTGGATGTGGCTGTGGATGTGGATGTGGATGTGGATGGGTGGACGATGGACGGAGGACGGTGGACGGAGGTGGTCAGAGGCCCGCTGCCCAGATCAGGGGGATTGTTTGTGTAACTCCAGCTCCCCCCTCCTCCTCGGGGTTGGTTCTGGCACCAGGGCCATCTGCCCTCTCCCCTGAGGCTATGGCACTTGAAGGCCGTGATTCCTGAGTTATTGTCTTCAGATCGTGTGAACATGCCTTGGTGTTGAACAGGCTTTGGCCTGGAGCGGGGTGTGTGTGTGTGTGTGTGTGTGTGTGTGTGTGTAATGATAGCTTTTTTTTTCCATCATCAGAAAAATGTAATAAAAACATAATAAAAGTACAGAACCTATTTTGTAGGTTTGAGAGTTAAATGAAGACTCTTGGCAGTTGCTAAACTGTTAAAGCCTAACTTTTCCAATGAGACTTGGAGCTTGCCCTTAAACTATTCACACCAGTTGATTCAGTTTCGTTAAGAAATGTGCTGGTCAGGTGTGGCTCGGTGGTTGAGCATTGACCTAGGAACCAGGAGGTCACCTTTCCATTCCAGGTCAGGGCACATGCCCCCGTTACAGGCTTGATCCCCAGTAGGGGGCGTGCAGGAGGCAGCCCATTGATGATTCTCATTGATGTTTCTCTCTTCCTCTCTGAAGTCAATAAAAATACATTAAAATAAAAAAAAAGAAACGTGAAGGTCAGGATCGCTGGCCACCGAGCTATCTTACCGGGGAACCACGTAGCCAGGCAAGGCCACGTTCTTCTGGGGCTGTCTCCCCGTCTCACCATCTAGCGGACAGCTGTACCAGGCGGGAAAGAGTGCTCCTTTCGCTATGTCAGTGTCACTAACCAGGACTGGGAGGATCTGGGTTGATACAAAGGGGCTGTCACTGATGTCTGAGTTTTCCTTACGGAGAAAACTTCAGAGAGGAAAATACTTATTGATTGATTGATTTGAGAAAGAGAGAGAGAGAGACAGTGATTCCACCTACTTATGCATTCATTGGTTCCACCTATTTATGGATTCATTGGTTGGTTCTTGTATGTGCCATGACTGGGGATCGAACCTGCAACTTGGGCACATCGGGACGATGTTCTAACAACTGAGCTCCCCGCCAGGGCGAAGAACACTTGACCACAGGGAGCTGCCTGCTGTGTCAGTGCTCAGGCTGCCGTAGTGAGGCCCCGCAGAGCAGGCGGCTTTAACAACCGAAATTCACTCTGATGTGCTGGCCGAGGAGCAGTCCAGAATCAACGTGTCAGCAGGCTGGTTTCTTCTGAGCCTGTCTGTGTGGGCGGCCGGCTCCTTCCTGAGTCCCCACGTGGTTGTCCGTCTGCCTGGGTGTCCTAACGCATACGGACACCAGTCCTATGGGATTCGGGCCCACCCCTCTGACCTCATTTTAGCTTAATTACCTCTTTAAAGACCAGTCCATTTTGAGGTGCTAGGGGTTGGGACTTCAGTATAAATTGTGGGGGGTCACAGGTCAGCACCTGAACCTGCTTTCTGACTGGCTTTGGCACATTGCCTCCCCTCGTGGGCCCCCGTCCTGCCTGCCTAAGACGGCACGGCTTGCCCCGGGCCCACCAAGCTTGGGACTAGTGGATACGGGAGGCCAACCGGCTGCCCCTTCCCTCGCCAGGTGCTGCAGGCTGGCGTGTGCGTCCCTGCGGCGCCACGGGCTCCACACGTCGGCGAGGCACTGCAAGGCCCGCACGGGCGCCGAGCACCTGTGGCTGACGCGGCACCTGAAGGACCCATTCGTGAAGGCGGCGAAGGTGGAGAGTTACCGGTGTCGGAGCGCCTTCAAGCTTCTGGAGGTGGACACGCGGCACCGGATCCTGCGGCCGGGCCTCCGGGTGTTGGACTGCGGGGCGGCCCCTGGGGCGTGGAGCCAGGTGGCGGTGCAGAGAGTCAACGCTGCAGGCACAGGTGGGTCTCAGAGGCCCGAGGACAGAGCGGTGGGGCACTTTCTGAAGGTGGGTGTTTGGTAGTAATAATGGTAAAGACGGGACACCGACATGTTCAGAATGAAAGGTGCAGTGATGATTAGAATCGCCTCGATCACCCCGCTCCTGTGTGTGGTGTGCGTCCCTTCAGAGTTCTTTTTTTGCACACGCAACGCTGTACCCACGTGCTTTTCGGAATGCGCTTCCACCGCAGCACTCGTGCTGCCGAGGCGCCTTACCCGGCCTTCGGCCTTTTCCGCTGGATGGCAGTGCTGGCTCTGACCGCACCCGGTTCCGGTCCTGCTGCTGAAGCCCTTGGGCTCCCCGAGGTCCCGCTGGGGCTGCTCCGCTCGCACAGCTGGGGCTCCGGACTCTCAACTCAGGCTCAACCCGAGGATTTTATCTTTCATATTTTCGGGTTTTGTCAAAGGTTGTTTTTTTTTATCCTCACCCAAGGTTATGCTTATTGGTTTTAAAGAGGAGATTGGAGGAGGGATGGGGGCGGGGGTGAGAGACATGGATATGAGAGAGAATATCCATTGGCTGCCTTTTTCTGCACTTACCCCAACCGGGGTTCGAACCTACAACATAGGTATGAACCCTGACTGGGAATCGAACCTGCAGCCTTTCCATGTATGGGATGGCACTCTAACCAACTGAGCCACACCAGCCTGGGCTGTCAAAGGTGTTTTTTTTTTTTAAATATGAAAAAGGTTCCCCTGATTAATAAACAGGTAAACCAACACCCATAGAACTTAGAAAACAACATCACCCTTTTGAACAGGTCCTGGGGGACTGTCCCGCATCTTAGCTTCAGGTCTTTGCGCTGCAGTGAGCCTTCTTGCCGTCTGCATTCCCAGCCGTAGGGTCTGAGGGCCTGCGTGCGCTGGCGTTATATGACATTTGTGAGTTCACAAACATCTCTCCCAGCTACCTTAGAGTGGGGGCATTTGTGCCCATTTTCCTCACGAGAAAACTGAGGTAGAGGAGTGGAGTGACCGCAGAAGGTAGAGCATTGGGCCTGCCTGGTTCATTCAGCAGCCCCGCCACATGGCTCAGTGGGGCGCCATGGGGCTTGAGAATTGGCATAAAAACATTGTTTTTAGTTCCCATGCTTGTTGACCGAGTGACTGAACTTGGGTCAGAAACGCCCCTGGCGCCACTGCAGTGGTTCCTGTCCCCGACAGGCAGTGTGGAGGAGCAGGAGGCCACAGTGGACGTGGGGAGAAGTGGAAGCAGCTCTTGGACTCTCTGCAGGGTCCGTGGGCAAGCAGCTTGCTTTCTCTTCCTCCCGGAAGTTGCCCAACTGCACCCAAAGCGATTTGCCTCGGTGGACACTCCTGCGGGGGTAACGCGATGCTCGGGGAAAGCACCGAGCCGGCCAGCAGTTGCAGGAAGTCGGATGTGGGCAGGGACCACTTTTGGCCCTTATTCTACATCTGCCCTTTCCCCCATATCTCAGCTTCTTCTTCTTTTTTTTTTTAATATATTTTATTGATTTTTTACAGAGAGGAAGGGAGAGAGATAGAGAGTTAGAAACATCGATGAGAGAGAAACATCGATCAGCCGCCTCCTGCACACCTCCCACTGGGGATGTGCCTGCAACCCAGGTACATGCCCTTGACCGGAATCGAACCTGGGACCTTTCAGTCCGCAGGCCGACGCTCTGTCCACTGAGCCAAACCGGTTTTGGCTCAGCTTCTTTTTAATGGAAAGAATTTGGCTGAAGCTACAGACAGACTTGTTGGTTTAACCCAGGGGCACTTTACATGCTAGTGTAACAGTTTCTATCTTCGCTCACCAGGTGAGCAGTCTCCGGGATGAAATGAAATGACATCAGAGCTGGAGACGCGTCCGGGGTATGGCCCCAGGCCTGCCTTCCACTCGGACAGCACTGGCCTCTCTGGGCTGGTTTTCTCAGATGTGGCGGGAAGCACCCCCACTCCCCTGGTGTGCACCTGCAGGATGTGGAGAGTGGGAACGGCCCTGTCCGCCTGTCTGCACATTAGCTCTTTTCCTTGGTCCCATTTCACGACTTGCGGCATGTGCTTTTGTGGGAAGAATCGGTGTAAATAACTAATTCCCAGTTTCTTCCTTAGATCCCAGCAGTCCCGTGGGCTTTGTGCTCGGGGTCGATCTTCTTCACATCGCCCCCCTGGGAGGAGCGACTTTCGTGTGCCCCGCTGACGTGACGGACCCACGGACCCTGCAGAGAGTCCAAGAGCTGCTTCCTGGCGGGAGAGCAGATGTGGTTCTGAGTGACATGGCCCCCAACGCCACAGGCATCCGGGGCCTGGACCACGACAGGCTCATTGGCCTGTGCTGGTCGCTTCTGGACATGGCTCCAGGCCTGCTGTGTCCCGGGGGCACATTTCTCTGTAAAACCTGGGCTGGAAGTCAAAGCCACCGGTTACAGAAGAGGCTGACGGAGGAATTCCAGAGCGTGAGGACCCTGAAGCCGGAGGCCAGCAGGAAGGAGTCCTCAGAGGTGTACCTCTTGGCCACACAGTACCGCAGAGCCCGGGGGCCTGGGGGGGCCTGAGCTCCCGCCCGCCCTTGCCGGGCCTGGTCACTGCACTCTGCGGGGCTGGGCGGCCCGGGCTTGACCGGGAGGCAGCGGCCAGGACAAGTGGGGATCTTTCTAAACCGAAGAGGACAGAACTGTATTCAGTGGCCATGATAAAAAACGGTCTGTCACGTGATTTGTGAAGAGGAAGTTGTCCTGAGAGAGGGACGAAGGCTGGGGAGGGAAGGATAAACACAGGCCGGGTTACAGGCTGAGGCAGCGACAGAGCAGGCTCCGCCTCGCTCCGGACAGCACAGGTTTCCAGCCCAGAGTTTGGCTCTACAGCATCACGTAGGAAAATCTGAATTCCCGTCTGGGGACTAAATTCCTTCTGGTGAATGATCCGGAGACGCAGCCACCCCTCAAGCAGCGATGTCCCCAGGCAGTTAGGGGAGACACTGGTGTGAACTGCATGGGCGGGCGTGCTTTGGGTTTTGCTGGAAAGACCGGGCTGTAATACTCCGGGCTCCCTGGACAGTAAAGGTCATTGCCAAAGCAGGCAGCGTGCGTGCGATTTCCCTTTCCCTTCCAGGGCATTGATGCCGCTTTATAAACAGGTGGGTTGAATTGCCGGAAGGGATTTCCATGCTTTCAAGTTTGCTTTTTTTTTTAAAAAAAATATTTTTTTATTGATGTCAGAGAGGAAGGAGAGGGAGAGATAGAAACATCAATGATGAGAATCATTGATCGGCTGCCTCCTGCAGGCCCCCCCACTGGGGATCGAGCCCACACCCCGGGCATGTGCCCTGGACCGGAATCGAACCTGGGACCCTTCAGTCCGCAGGCTGATGCTGTATCCACTGAGCCACACCAGCCAGGGCTTAAGTTTGCTTTTTAAAACCGGTTCCTGGTTTCTTCAAAGCCACTTCCTGGGGGTGTGCTCGCCCCCCAGCAGTTACTGATGGCAGCAGCGATGAGTGGGGCCCAGGGCTCCCGGGTCCGTGGCTGAGTCCAGCTGCCTGGAGTGGGCTGCAGGGGAATTCCGGTTCTCATGCCACTGCTGGCGTCGCAGGTTAAGTCCGGGAGCCCTCGTGCTGCTTCCATCACGCGCTCCCCCTCCGGTCCGTTCATTTTGGGGCCCCGTGTCTCACCCTCTGGAAGAAGGGCACTCAGTCCACACCCGCGCCGGGGGCAGCGGCGGGCAGCGCCGGGGGAGGAATCACGCTCCCGGACAGACCCGGTTGCAGTCACGCGGGCGGGCGGGGTGCTGGCTGAGGCCTGGAGGACGGCGCCGGGAGGACGGTGGAGCGGCCTGGCACCCTCCTCCTCCCGGGCCCGAGGAGAGGGGGGTCGCGGGGGGTCAGGGAAGTACCGGGGCGGCCGGGGTCGGAGCAGCGGAGCGCGCACAGGTCCGGCCCTGCGGTGCGGGCGATGCCACACAACACGGTGCGAGGCAGCTCCCGGCGAAGCCCGTCTTGAGTGGGGCGGGGGCGCCCTGACGGCCCCGCGGGGAGCGGGGGCAGGAGCTCGCGCGGAGCCCCAGGACCAGCCTCCGCGCAGCCCGGCAGCTTCCGGCCGGCCCCGCCGGATCTCGCGAGAGCTCAGCCGCAGATCTCGCGAGAGCGCAGGCGCCGAGGAGGGAGATCTGAGCGGCGACCGCGGCAGGAGCGGACCGGGCTGGTGAGGTGGGTGCGGGGCCCGGCCGGGCTGGGCGGGGGCCGGGGGGCCGTGGCGGGGGTTGTGCAGCCGGGCGGCCCGGGGTCGGGGCGGGGCTGCCCGCTGAGGCCGAGGCTGGGCGCCGCCCCCTCCGTCCTTCTCCGGCCCGCGGGCTCGGACTCGGCGCCCCTCGGCCCCGCTCCCGGCTCTGTCCTTCCGTCCCTGCTCCCCTCCTCCGTCCCTGCTCCTCCATTCGGCTCCCCGTCTCCGTACCTGCTTCCCCCTCTGTGCCCCGGCTCCCCTGCAGCCAGGTCTGCCTGCCACCGCCTCCGCTCCTGCTGTCCACCTCAGCCGGGGCCAGTCCAGCCCCAGCTGCCCTCAGCGCCCCCTGCGGGTCCCCCGGGGCGTCTCCTGGGAGAAGGAGCAGCTGGACAGGCCAGGGCCGAGGGCCGAGGGCTGCGCCGGGACCGGGGGTAGGAGTGGGCCCTCTCGGTGGAGCCCTGGCAGGGCGGGCCCAGGGCACCTGCGGGAGCCGCGTCCGTACCTGGGTGCGTTCACAGCAGCAGCAGAGCCCGTGGTGGGCGGGCGGGCCGTGGGCGTCCTGCAGTCGCGTAGGTTCCAGAAGTCATCCTGCCGCCCAGGACCAGAGGGGCCGCCGAGAGCAGGGAGTGTGGGCGCCCAGCTCAGGCCACTGACCGCAGGGTCCGTCGGGCGGTCGGGTTGGATGAAGAGGACGGAGTTGAGCCGCGGCCTTCGGGGCGTGCGGAGCGGCCTGGTTGCAGGCAGTGAAAGCGTGTGTGTTCTTTTCATCCCAGAGCAGCACACGCTTCAGTCCTTACAGGACGGCATCTGGAGAGGAGGGAGTGGCTAAATTTCCCATCGCGGATGGAAGGAACGGCCCGGTCTCCTCCGCAAATGCAAGGGTTAGCCCTGCTGCCTCCCGCCCGCCCGCCGGCCTGCATCTGCGAGGCTCAGGGCAGGGCGAGCGCGGTCCGTTTTCCACGTGTAGTCTGGCAAGAGGCAAGAGGCGGGGAGGACAGGCCTGTGCGGGGTGGGAATGGCGCCTGGGAAGACAGGGCTCTGCCTGCTGGAGGCCCGGGCCCTAGTTAGTGGGACATTCCGCGTCCAAGTAAGATTCCTCACTGGATGGCTTGTTTGTTTGTTTGTTTTGGGGGTGGGATGGGGTGGTGGGCGGGGGAGCCTGCGAGCCAGCTTTTCTAAGGGAAACCCTTCTCGCCTGTGGACGTCGCGCTTCTGCTGGGAACAGCCCCTCGCTCCCTCGCTCGCTGGCTGGGCCGGCGGGCCGGCTGGTGTGAGGCCAGAGGAAGCCCAGGTTTGGCGATGCCGGTGCTTGGCTGCTGCTTGTCCTCAGCCTCCGTGCCGGGCTCGAGGAGCAGCGGACCTGCAGGCCAGGCAGGCCCTGGCGCAGTCTCCGCCGCCCCTTCCTGCGAGGCCTCAGGGCCGTTCCGAGCAGCACGAGGGTCAGACTGTTGGGCAGCGGTTGTCCCTCTGCCGCTTGACGACTGGTGGACACTGTCATCCTCACCACCGCTTGGCAAGGAGGGTGCATGATGTCAGTTTACGGAGGAGGAGACTGAGGCTCGAGGAGTCTGGGTGCTCAGTCAGTGTCAAATACCTTTCTTTTTGGTATTTACTTGGTTGAAAATAGTAGTAATTGATTAGTCACTAGAGGCCGGCTGCACAAAATTCGTGCCGAGTAGGCCTGCCTTCCCCCGGGTGCTGGCACTGGCTTCCCTCTGCCCGCCGGCAGGCACCCGGGACCCAGCCTTCCCTCGCAGCTGGCTTCATCCGGAAGGATGTCTGGTCTAATGAGCATATTATGCTTTTATTATTACAGACTCGAGGCCCGGTGTACAAAATGAGTGCATGGGTAGGGTCCCTGGGCCTGGCTGGCGATCAGGGCCAGCTGGGGCCCTCCTTCCCCTAGCTGCCGGCTGCCAGCTGGGGTCTTCCTTCGTTCCGTTCTGCCCCCTGGCTGCCAGCTGCCGGCTGCTGGGGTCTTCCTTCGTTCCGTGCTGCCCCCTGGCTGCCAGCTGCCGGCTGGGGTCTTCCTTCGTTCCGTGCTGCCCCCTGGTGGTCAGCGCACATCATAGCGAGCGGTTGAACTCCCAAGGGGACAATTTGCATATTAGCGTTTTATTATGTAGGATTGTTAACAAGTCAGCATTACTGTGTGTTTTGTTTGTGATTCCCAGAAACTGGGCTCTCTGTGAGTGTGGCTGTGGGAGGTACCACCTGCCTGCTGCACCCGCCCCCCACCCTCCACCCCCCACCCCCCAGCTGTCTGTCTGTCCCGCTGCTGCACAGGTCGTCTCTGACGTTCCGCGGCTTGGGGGCATGTCGGCTTTCTGTGCCTCTTACTTCTCTGGCAGATCAGCAGTTGGGCTCCCAGGTGACCCTGGAGAACGGGGCTGTGGGCCCTGGCCTGCCTGACGGGCTCTGAGAGGGCAAGCCGGGGCGGGCACTGCGGGGCGGGCAGCCGTGGGACTGAAGTTACGTGGGAAGGCTCCCGTGACCCCTCCCTTGTCTTCCTCAGAGAGGCGTGGCCATGGAGGACCTGGGGGAAAACACCACGGTCCTGTCCTCCCTGAGGTCCTTGAACAACTTCATCTCTCAGCGCGTGGACGGAGGAGCGGGCCTGGATGCTTCGGCCTCGGCCCCAGGGTCCCTGCAGATGCAGTACCAGCAGAGCATGCAGGTGAGTGTCCTGTCCGAAGGTGTCGCTCAGGTGAGTGCCCTGCGCGGGATCGGGGTCTCTGACGGAAAACAGGGCCCTTGGATAGGCTGGGTCGTCCTCATGCCGCGGCCTTGCGTGCGGCTGTGTCTGTGGGTGCGATGCCATAGGGACGTGGCTCTTGTGTGCCTGCTGCCTGTGGTGAAGTTGGTTTCCTTACACGTCGTCCTGCTGAACGTCGTAGGACCCATGGCCACTGCTGACGTTACGTGGGCACTTCCTGTAGCTGCGGCAGGTCAGTGTCTCCTCAGCCTAGAGGCCAGCTGGCCGTCTCCCGGGTCTCTAACGTGGGCGTTCGGAGTTTGGGAGAGAAAGCGGGAGGGAAGCAGGGTCTGGCCCTGAGCCGTCCTGGTTAGCAGCCTGACGTGTCAGCGGCGCAGAGCGGGCCTGGTGCTCAGCGTGTGCTCACGGTAATGAGCTCACAGGCCCTAGTGACGGGGATTGGAAAGCCCACACGGCCTGGCTCCCTCGAAGGTGGACGCCTGGGAAGGGCGGCCGTGCGGTGACAGGCCCGTGGCTGGCCTGGCGGGACAGCAGGGGAGTGAGTGAGGCTTGGGGAGGTGACGGCCTCAGGCTGTGGGAGCGTTTGCAGATCTTGGCTCCCGGCTGCTACGGGGTGATTTTGACAGTTTTACTCTGATTATAGTGCTACTTTGCTCTGTTCCAAGTTCTCGGCATTGCTCCCTGTAGACAGCTGTGAAGGGGTCAGGCCTCCTGAAGGACATCAGCTTCTAAGGACTTGGGGGCCCGTCCCAGGGGGCAGAACCACGGGGGCCGCACAGGCTTGCCCAGGCCCACCGCTCCCACCGGCTGTGCGTCCTCCTCCCCCGTGGGCCCTCGCGTGGCTGGGGCTGTTCAGCCGTGGGTGCTGCTGGGGCCGTGGGGGATAGTGTCCTGGGAGCCCAGGAGGCTCAGGTGCGTTCATTTGCTGAGGAACTGAATTACTTTCTGTTGTTAGTAGTGGACTGAGTTGCTCACTCCCATTTTTTGGCAAGGACTCTTATTTATTTCGAGATTAGTTTTCTTATGTTTAAACACTTTTTACTGAAATAACAGTGGCAGTAGGTTATACTGTGATCCTTGCCCACTGGTTGAAAAAAGTAATAATTTTATTGATGCACATGACTGGGAATGTTTGGCCTGTCAG